GATATAAAAGCACTTTTGACTAATCGTATTTTAGTATTTTTTAGTATTTCCTGGCTGTGACAGGAACAGTGTGTACAGTAAATGTTCATGTGTTCCTTACATAATGATAATGTATCTTATTGTTGATTTTACTAATCTGTACAGGTTAGACTGGTGCACGTTAATGAAGTCACCCACTAGGTTTTTACAGGAAGGAATGTCGGAATGTAAATGATTGGTTTTGTTGATGCTGTTCTTCCGAATGTTTTCGTAAATCAAATCAAATACAAGTGTTAATTTTTCTTATGGCAAATGTGACACAAAGTTTTTGAGTTATGACTAGAAGAACAAGAAACAAGACCCAAGAAACAAGGTTGTTACTTGGTGCAACAATTCATTGTAACGGAAATTCATACTTGCACTACAATTGTTCTGTTTATATAAATAATGTATATTGTAACTAAAAGTGGAACAATATGGTTAAAAAATGGTTTTCAACATCCAACATGAGGCTTTCTGTTCTTAACTCAGTTTCTCTAATGAAGATGAATGAACATTTCTTACAAATAAGTGTTACAATTGCTGAGGTTTGTAAATTTTAACCAAAAGGTTACTGAAGATAGTGATGTCCCATTCTCTTCGATTCTGATTTCCACTAGCATCTGCCATCAGGAACATGCCGGAACATGAAAAGGGATTTACTGAGTTGAAGAGAACTTTGGCTACATTCACATTACAAGCTCTGATTTTTTGCTCATATCAGCTCACATTCATAAGTGATCCATATCTGTCTTTAATGTTAATTCCCTGAAGTGCCTGGTATGTGCATATCGATAATAATTTTGAATGATTCAGCAAAATTTTATGTCTGAGACAGCAAGATTTTATGTCTGAGACAGTCTATCACAGTATAACAAGAACTGAATGTGCTAGTAGCCCAAGCCTGCATCATAATTTGCTCTGGAGGCTGGCAAACACCACATCAGCTGTACATGAACAGGGAGAGAAGGTGAAAAAAGGCTACATGATGAGCTTTTGGTGTTTGTGCAGCTATAACTGATGTTATGGGTATGGTAAAGAGGCCAGCAACAAGTGGGTTTATCACACAAAATGTGCTTGAGTTATTCATAAAAGGGACATGCTGAGTGACATTGGCAGCTACGTTGATTCAAGTCTCCTTGAATCAAGCCTCCTTGAATTTACTCTTAAGGCTCTTTTTTTTTGGCATTGAGGCCACTTTCGTTTGTGCCCACACTTTGCCATTTCATGGGTAATTGTTTTGATCTCTGCTCATTTTGATAGGTTCCTTGTAGTTCTGTTTCCCTGAATATCAAGTAAATCACAAATACCCTGGTTAAGTAAATGTTACAGTTGTATTGTTATAAAACCTTAAAAGATGAATGTAGACAATGGGACACCACAGTGTTAAGTTCAACTGGTGAAATTATGACTGATACATCATACAGTTAAAACAATTCAGGTAGAAAAAGCAGGAACTTGTGGGCAGTACTATACAGGAGCAGAAGTAGAAGTGTCCATACATTATAAAAGCTCTATTACTGATATACGGTAAATTATTGTGATACTTCAACATTTTCATGACACGCACTATGTATTACCATATTTAGGTTTGCTAACAGAGAGCTATCAAAACAGTAGTAACACATTTAAAAAAGAGAAAATGAGTTCAACAATACCTTCAATAATGTCTACAAAAATGAAAATGAAACATTTTTGTATAAAAATAGAACAATTTTAACAATTGATCAGCTACTTGCAACTGTAATAATGGAACTGTTCAGTCTTATAAAAGTACTGAGAGCTCCTGTAATCCTCTTGGATCACTGTGTTGTGATGTAATTTATTACAATATTGATATTATTTTATTATTTATATCATAGCCCTACTGTTAAATGTTTGGTTAAATTGATTTTTCTTTTTATACCCTGTCTTAATTCAACAGCCTTCTGAAGAGGAAATACTGTTTCAGTTCCTGATGGGAATTGACTTAATGGTTTGCATTAAACTTCTTCTTATCAGAAGAGATAATGGTTGTAATGGTTCTCTAGAGGTTCCCTGATTCAGGTCCACAACATATAATTAGTGTGTTTTTAATTACGTTGTTGTACCAGTATGAAATATTGGCCTGATGTGATTTCATTACACTGTCCTGTTTCTTTGGTAAAGATGTGAATATCACAGAAGTCCACCGGATCCATTAAAACACCATTAAATCATAACAGATTACGTTCAGAGAATACCAAAAACGCATCAAAAACATGTCACCAGTAACCATTACAACCTTTTACAAAACCACCAGGAACCAGCTGAAACCTCTAATGGTTACTGTATGTTAGCAGTAATACTGTAGTATTGTTATATACGCTTAGAAAAAGGGGTTCCTTGAGGGTTCTTTCAATGGTTAATGGTTCTAGCTTAATGAAGAGCTTCTACCAGAAACTTTCTCTGAAAGGGAAACCCTGTGTTGTAAGGTTCCATGTAAAACCTTTATCGATTCCCTCAAAAGAGACCAACCAAGCTAACAGTTTTTATTTAAATACAATCATCTCTGAAATTATTTTTCTCTGGATTTTTCTCTGGATGTTCTAAGAACCTGTCAGGTTTTCTGGGTTTTTCTATGAACATATCTATGTATTCGAGAATTCGACAGTGGTGGTACTAACGGTTCACAATATTTCAGGAAGGAAGCTAGCATTATGGAAACTATAAATGTTGTACAAACATTTATAGTTTCCACAACACTCGCTTCCTTCCTGAAATATTGTGAACCGTTAGTACCACAGCTGTCCAATTCCCGAATCTGATTGGTCAGAAAGTGTTGATTAATTTTTTATACCAGCAGCTCTGACAATAGTGCAGCTGCAAATCACAGGTTTGTATTAATGCACATGTTCTAGCATGTTATCATTCCTATAGTAACAGCTCATTCATAGGGACTTGGCAGATACTTGCATAACATAAGGATAATAATAGATGGATTAAATCAAATGTGTTTTTATTTAACAAAGAAAACATTTAATTCTTCATTATGGAGAAGATTTCTGTGAGGAGACCTTTATTTAACACTGAGCTGGTGAGCGAATGACAGATTATAACCTAAGTTATAACAGGAACTAACGTGTTCCACTGACGTTCCCAACAAACTGTAAACTGTTAAAAAAAATACATTTTAATGAATAAAAAATTGTAATCGTTGGAAAATGACTGTGCGTTAAGAGCAATAAAACACTCCAGGATGTGCTGTTATAGGAAAAGAATGCATTTTTGTGGTCCAGCAGTAAGTCTGCTTTATTATCCGTTTATTATTTTCCTATGCCAGCACATCACACACATGAGTATCTCATGCCTTACATGTTAGAACCTGTCAGTGCTCAGTGTCCTGTTCTCTGGTCGAGTGAACAGTGTAGAGTCATCAGCATATGACTGCAACTCAAATGAGTAAGTCCAAAGATACACACATTTACAAATGACTGAAATGCTGAACTTTACAGTGAATGAAAGGAACAAGCCTCCTCTCCCTCTGTGTGCTTCTGACTCTAGCTTGGAGTGACAGCTGCCCTTCTATCAGTGTACGCATGAGCCATCAGAGTGAATATAAATCTAAGCAGACTTCAGTATGATGGGCTGAAAACGCGTGGTCGATGTTTAAATGGAATGTTTACCTGTAGTGTAGTAGCGGGGTTTCCCGGAAGTGTCTTCACTCGCAGGCCTTTAAAGAGCTTTTTTTTTTTTTTTTTTTTTTTTTTTTTTTTTTTTTTTTTTTTTTTTTTTTTTTTTTAATAATCAGGGTTTAAAAATCTCGCACCATGAGCAGGAAGAGATCCATCAGTCCGATCGTTTCAGTCGGATCCACTCATGTAAGTCTGATCACCAGCACAAAGCTTTACACTAACACAGACCCTGAAGATCCTGAATCCTGAAGCTTTAACAGCTTCTGTGAAGAGCTTGTCTGTGCTCTGGGGCCGGCAGTTCCTCTTTCTAACACGCATTTGCATGGCACCTTCACACTGCAGCTCGGGGAGTGTGTGTGCGCGCGCGCGTGTGTATATGTGTGTGTGTGTGTGTGTGAGAGAGTGAGAGGTTTTACTTTCGCCTACTCCGCCTGCAACAGCGCAGCTCAGCTTTCTCTCTCTCTCTCTCTCTCTCTCTCTCTCTCTCACACACACACACACACACATCGTTAATTACACGGAAAAGAGGAAGAACATCATCACAATGCAAGTAAATCACGATACATTTAATCGGTTACACCACAGCGCTGCTGAATTCTCGATTCTGATTGGCCAGAAGGCGTTGATTCATTTTCTATAGCAGCAGCTCTGACAGTAGTGCCGGCTGTAATTCAAATGATAGCTTTATATTAACTCACTTATTTTTATATATTATTGTTTCCATAACAGCTCATTCGCAGCGAGTTGTACAGCAGATGCTCCACATAAACAGATTAAAACTGCGTGTAAGCGTTGATATGGTGAGGTTTTCTGTAAGGAGACGTTTATTTAACACTCATGGAAGGAGTCTCCAGTGTCAGAGCTGTGTAAGTTTTAAGACATAGGAAAGTCTTCAGCAAAGAGGAGTTCTCAGTAACATGAGGGTTTTTTTTTTGTCTTATTAACTTCAAAAGAGAGAAAAAGAGAGAGACTAGTGAGGGAATGACTGTTTATAGCTGCTACAGCATAAGTGAGAACAGGAACTAACTTGTTTTGAGGACAGAACATTAACTATAACTATAAACCGATAAAATGACATTATTATTTAATAAGTAAAAATTGTAATCGTTGGCAAATCCCTGTGGTATAAGAGGAATAAAACACAATATAAGTGTTGTCCTTCTTCTTTCGGCTGTTCCTGTTAGGGGTCGCCAAAGCAGATCATTGGTCCGCATATATTTGATTTGGCACATTTTTTTACACCGGATACCCTTCCTGACACAACCCTCCCTGATTTTATCCGGGCCTGGGACCGGCGCAGTCTTGTGCAACCCCAGTGGCTGGGGTCGGTTCCCTGGCCTTGAATCGAACCCGGGCCACGGCAGCAAGAGCACCGAGGCCTAACCACTAATCCTCCAGGGACTCTAATAAAACACAACATAAATCCCTGGCACTAATTATTTTCTTGTAACAGCAAGCCCCCAAATGTTTATTCCATATATAACGGTTTGTCAGTTTCTTTACAAAGAGAAAGCTTAAACTGCCTACCCGAATGGGCTCTTCAGTTTGTCCTCCAGGAGGAACCCCTGAAGGTTTTCTATATAAAACTACAACACAGTGCTTCCCTGTCAGAGAGGATTCCAAGCAGAACCAAGGGATTAATTCAGGATTTTGAAGGTGGTTGTCATGGATGCTTACACGGAACAAACTATTTGATTTTTTTGTTATTGTATGAAGTGCTCAACAGTAATATCAGAAACTGAAATGTGATTAAAACACAATTTTTGACACATTTGTCATAAAACACTGCCCTTGTAATGTACAAGAAAGAACTGGAATATGATCATTTTTAAAATATGTACCACAAAATTCCATGGTTATAAATTGATTTTTAAATTAAAATATACAAAAAATACAAGTCCAACTACAACTACAGATGGAGGTTCTTCTGACTGATCACCTTTATTCTACAATGAAACATTTCTATCCTGGTGGGAGTGGGTCTTTTCCTGTATGACCCTGCCCCCGTCCACATCACTGAATGGCTCGATGAAGAAAAAAAACTGATTTAAATCAAATTCATCAGATCTCAAACCAACTCAAAGCCACCACCATCATCAAAAAAAAAAAAAAAAAAAAAACAACTCAGGGAAAATCTCTTCAGAAGAACAGTGTTCATTTTATTTACATACAAAAACATCATCATGTTGAATAAAGACATACTCTTCAGTTTTGGACAATGTTGATGTGAGTTGCAACTACATTTCCCTGTACACTCTGTAATCGTCTCTCCTGAGGCAACGTGATAAATAAACACAGTACTTGGCGTAAGTGTTGAGTGACACAAGCGAGTCCCACAGAAGCACACAGCTCACGTGATTAACAGATCAGATGTACGGAAAGTTGATCATGGTCTGAACTGCATCAGTCCGACACCTCCACTTTCTCGCCACAATGAGACTGTATCAAAGTTCCTCAAAGCTAAATAAGTGTGTCAGATTTTCTCAGATTTTCTTTCCTTTATGCAGTTTATTGAAACGCCAGATGTGCTCCTTCCTCAAGCGCTTCCAGTATTCGTGGCTCTCCAGATCCAGCTCGTTGAGGTTTTTCGGGGGACCAAGATTCAACTCGAACAACCTGGAGACATCCTCAAGTGTCATTTTAGACAACAACATATCACCAGCTATACATTTATTGGCACCCTTGAATAGATTTCGCTCATATCTTTACTAAAGGTGCCAATAAATCTGGAGCTGACTGTATAATATATAAATCTAGATCATATAATCTACTACAATCCAATTATGCTGCTAATCTTCTATAAAATTTTAACTATTGAATGACTATTGTCTCATAAAAAATAATGCAACAGGGTTTTCCCTTAGGCAGAAATGGGGTATATGTAGAATTCTTGTAAAAGTGCAATTAAATTTAATTTAATTATTATTACTAAGTGTTTCATGACCATAGCAGAATGACTTTTTAATAGAATCAGTACATCCACTAATTTATGTGAGTTCTACGATTAATTTAAACCCACAGAATATTGCACCTGGAGGGTGTGAGATTTTTCAGGCATATCACCACACACAATAGAATATTAATAGATTTTTACAAGGCTCACTTGGATATTACAGCCTAATGATCATTAATATCTTGTAACATACTTTCTATAATGTGCAGCCCTTTTCCTTCAAATGTAATCATCAAATTTTGCAGATTTCAAATTTCCAACATTTCTGGTGCGAACATTAATCAGTGTAAATGATTTGATTATGTCCTGTATGCTTTACCATGCTGGATATTCCTCTTTGGGTTTCAGTGGTGGATCTTCTCCTTGTTTGTAGATGTTTACTCCCACAGCGTAGGAGGTCAGCTTCACCGGGTCCTTACACACCTCTGGGCCCTTCAGCACATCCTTCACCATACCTTTTCCTTTTCCTTTAGCAGCTGAGGAAACATGATGAAACACAAATACATTACAGCAGGACAACTGGAGAAGATGCTGTGTGTCATGGATGCACTCAAATCTGAACTAATATTCTCCTGTCCTTGTCAATTTTACATTTCTTTTTAAAGTATTAACAGTCAGTTTCATTACCAAATCAACTATATGCATCTGTATGGATTATATAACATGCATTACTTAATTACTTGCTTCTTATTTATTCTCTGTGAGCCAAGGTCAGGTCTAGGCTATACACTTGTACCAGGACGTTAGCTAGTTGCCTAGTTACCTAGAAACGCCGCATAAAAATAATAATTAAAAAAACATACCTGCTTTTTTGGCATATCCGCGAATCTGGACGGAACTGTTCACTAAAGCACAAGCACAAAGTCGGGCGTGTGAACTGAACAGATGGAGATTAACTCCATTTAAAGACTTCAGGACGTTACTGAGAGCCATTTTCCTGCACCATGCTGTAAAACATTGACACGTGACCAGAGCACTTCCGTAATCGGAATGCGCGCTGCGCATGCGCAGTGTTAAAGTCTCTAAACTGGATTAACTGTATCTATAACTGTTAATGTGTATGATACTGGAGTCTAGAGAGAGCACGTGGGAAGGTTATAACTTTCTGTGTAGCATTATCCAAATAAAAAATAATTAAAAAAAGAAAAAAAGAAAAAGAAATTACTAGAACCTTACACTCCTTCCGCTAAGGATACAAAACTTCCGGCTCGTTTTCTTTTCCAGAAAAAACGTCAACAAGATGGCGGAATATGCGTCTGTTCAGAAAGGGTCTTTAAAACTCAAAGGAGCTGGAAATATTTCAGCTGGTAAAAAGTACGTATTTTGTTTCACTGTTAAAATAAAATAAGTAAAAAGTGATGTGGTTTGTTTTAGTATAACTAGCCAGGCTCTTGGCTTTATTGTTTATGAGCTGCTTGTCTAGCTGATAGCTCAGCTAACCTAGCTAAATCTTACATACTTCTTAATTCGGTATATTAAATGCATTATATAAATTATAATGGCTTTTATACTCATATACTGAATGTATAGCATTTTTAAAATGGGAGCCTTTTTGATGTGGTCAACTAACCTGGCTAACGCTGTGTTGTTTTTAGCCAGAATTAGCTGGACGTTACTGTTAGTTATGTCCGGAGTAAACATCCTTGTGTTGTGCTGTTATAGGAAAATAATCAACGTCAGGGTAGTGTGATGAAGTGGAGTTACTGTTACCACCCTGAAGTGGATTATTTTTCCCTAACAGCACGTCATGAAGTGTTTTTTAATTTATTAACGAACGTCATAATTTTTATCAGTTTATAGTTACATATAATGTTGTGCAGTGTCTTTGAGACAAGTTAATTCCTGTTATCGCTTACATTATAACAGCTATAACAGTCGTTCACTCACCAGTCTCTTTTGAAGTTTTGAAGACAAAAATTGTAGCTTGTCATGCTACTGAGAATCCGCAGAGTGTTGTCTTATAAGGCTAGTGAGAATAACCATTTATAGCTGCTATAATGTAACTGATTACAGGAACTTCTTTCACTGACACTCTACAACATTAGATGTAACTATAATCGGATAAAAAAAGAATGGCCTGTTGTTCATTAATAAAAAAATAAAAAACTTGTAATCATTGGCATTGTAGTAACCAATAATCAACTTTGGGGTGGTAATAGTAACTCTACCTCATCACACCATCCCGTCACTGATCATTTTCCTATACCAGCATGACCTCAAGTCTTTCATTTCTGACTTAATATAATGTTATGTCATTTAAACAGGAAGAAGAAGAAGGACAAGGAGTTAAAGCGTTTGGAAAAGCAGGTGCTGACCACTTCAACAGATGAGGAAACAACCAAGAAGGCTTATGTTGATAAAAGAACACCGGCTCAACTCGCCTTCGACAAAATCCAGGAGAAAAGAGTGTGTACACCTTTGTATGGTCTTTTTATACATTGTAATTAGGCATATACTTAGTGTTTTTTTTTTGTTTTTTGTTTTTTTAAACAAATGCAGCTGGTCTTGTAATGCACGGCTGGGCTAAATCTCAAATTACTCCATGCTCCATGCTGAAGTGCACCAACTAATGGACAAAATCAATAGAATTTAGTAGTAAAAATAATCGTTAATGAAGTTTGATTAGTTACAGCACCATATTGTTCCACACTGTTTGGAGAAAAAGCACTAAAATTCTTCAAAAACCGATGTCTCATTAAATGAGTGTTAAAATGAGAACTTTCAGCTCTACTTTAGTGATGTTTGGAAACCTTCTTCTTCCCAAGAAAATGCTGTTTTTATAATGTGTTATTAATATAATGAACTAGCTGTATTTTAATTCACTTTTCTTCCCTGCTCATTTTTATTAGCAAATGGAAAGAATTTTGAACAAAGCCTCCAAGACACATAAGCGCAGAGTTGAGGTAAGAGTGTGTTCTTACTGTCTGTATTGCTCTGTTAGATCCAGTCTCCTGCATTTCTTCTGTCCACACGCACTGATTGCTTTGAATTGCCTGCATGTCTTAGTCAAATATGTCCTGAACAGTGTTGCCATATCTGTTGCTAGATTTGGTGACCCTTTAGTGACAATTCTAGTGACATTCTGAGTAGATGTTAGTGACTGACCTGCTCTCAATACGGCTCTCCAGCTTACATCACAGCTTCACTCGACACAAGTTCAATCGACTCACCACCACTGTGTAAAACCAACGACTAATCACTGATCACCATCGTTCCCTAACCACCAATCACTGATCACCATCGTTCCCTAACCACCAATCACTGATCACCATTATTCAATTTCCTTCATATTTCCTGACTCCTCACTACCACTTCATTTTTGTCTGCATTCTTAATAGAACGATAGAATTTTGTAAATATAAAAATATTTCGTCTCTGGTGCTGTGATCAAAGACAACTATTTTCTACTTATAATCTACTATTTTCTACTCTGACAAAACTCTTAAGT